GGCCCAAACTCCTTCGCATAGGCAGGTGAAATAGGAATGAGACAAACAACGTTCATAAAGATGTACGGGGATGGTCTCTGTGGCATCTTTTGCATTTAACACCATGGTGGCAGTGCCAGATGAGGTAGCATGCTAGGAAGAGCTAAAGCTTCCCTGTTGATTTTGTCTGTGCCCTATATATTGTTCTCATGTCATGCGCCCCATCACCATCAGAAGACGGATAGCACTATTAATGCCACCAGCAGTAGACACTGACAATATGATGCTTAATGCCACCATGAGTAGGCATTGACAATATGATGTTTTATTCAGAGGGTTTTGGCTATTTCATGGAAATGTTGGCACAGATTAAGTTAGCTTTTATATAACCTCTGACCTCAACTAAATGCTCTTAGGGGAAAAAACAAAGATGAGAAATGTCAGCAAAAGAAATCAGGGAGACTGGAAAGATTCAAGTGGCCCTAGTGGAACAGTAGCTACACTTTGAGGGCTAACCATGAAGTGGGCAGTTCAAAACCACCAGCTGCTGCAGAGGAGAGAGAAGAGGCTTTCTATTCCTGTACACAGTTACAGTCTCACACCCACAGGGGCAGTTCTACCCTGTCCTATAAGGTCACTATGAGTCAGCATCAACTGGATGGCAGTGAGTGAGTGAGTGAGTGAGTGCGAAAGGTTCAATTGTTGGTCGTGTTAATAGTTGGGAAAGGAGTTAATACAAAGGGTCATAATTCTCACTCACTGCCCTCCAGTCGATTCTGACGCATACTGACCACACAGAACAGAGTAGAACTGCCCCTGCGGGTTTCTGAGACTATTATCTTTACGGGAGTCGAAAGCCACATCCTTCTCCCACGGAGTGACTGGTGGTTTCAAACTGTTGACCCTGCAATTAACAGTCCAAGGAGTAAAGCACTAGGCCCCCAGGGCTCTGTCAAGGTCATAACTGGGACAGCCAAGTCTTTTATTTATTTATTTTTACTAAGGAAATTCATTCTTGAGAACTAACACAAGAATCAAGGTCACACTCATCAGAAGTAGGAGCCTTGATTCATTTTAGCATTTTCAAATAAATATCCTGAATCGAAAAAGGAGTGTTGTATTATGGTACCGATTTCATCTGAGATGTGTGTGGTGGGCATGAGACGCATGAGGAAGGATGGAAAGAAAGAGGGTAGGACACAGCCGATTCAACAAGCATGCCTTTGTTGTTCTTGAAAGTGGTATTAAAGAAAGTAAGCGTCTGCTTTGGGTCTGTGTAGGTACTTTGTAAAGTTGATGAGAATTAAAACAGGTCAGTTGTAGCTAATGAAACTCCCAGGTTTGTGTGCAAAAAAGCAGGAGACAGCTGGGGGAGCTAGCAGAGCCCAGAAGAACAGTTAGCAGCCCTAGCTGCACATGGGATTCACCTGGAGAGTTTTTTAAATGTCCTGCAGCCTACATGGCACCTCAGAGAAATTAAAGCAGAATTATTTGGGGGAGGGGGTCATGATACAAGTATGTATATATGTGTGTGTATATGTATATATATATCTCCAAGGGCCCAGAGGCCATAGTGATTACACGTTGGGCCTGCTAACTACAAGGTCAGACATTCACAATCAGCCACTCTGGGGGAGAAAGATGAAGCTTTCACTGCCATAAAGAGTTACAGTCTCAGAAACCCATAGGGGCAGTTCTACCCTGTCACTCTGAGTCGGAACTGACTTGATGGCAATGAGTTTATGTATGTACGCAAACCAACCTTGCCTGCCTCGACAGCTGCTGGCCATTTCCAGCATTTAAACCTCTCAGGAGCGCTGGTGGCAGTCACTGGAGTGTAGAGCTGACCGTGAGCAGTTTCAACCCCAGTTCAGCCCGCTCTGCAGGAGAACGAAGAGGCTGTCTGCCCTCATACAGAGTGAGGGTCCCTCTGGGTGGGAATGGACTGGCTGGCCATGGTGAATGGCTATTTGTAAGCTTCACTGGTTTTTCTTCCCTAGAAAATCCTAAAGTCTAAGACACTTTAATTCAACAAAACTATAACACTGTAAAGCTATTGCTTGACATATTCTCCATCTAGGTCTACAGACTTCTGAAAGCAGTATTTCCATCTCTCTAATCCTTCCCCGAAGCATTCTGCCCTCTTCAAGGTACGTCAGTCCCAAAGAGCACTTTTAGCATCCTGCAGGGGCTCAAATCATGTTCCTTTTCCATGTCTTTTGAGTTTGGGGAACAAAAAGTCAGACGGGACGAGATCAGGACTGGAGGGTGGATGGAGCGCAGTTTCCCAATGGACTTCTTGCAGGACACCCCTTGTTACCCTCGAAGAATGAGCAGGTGCATGGCGGTGATGGGAAACAAGCCCTCAGTGCTCCTTCGCCGGCTCTTCTTCCATCAGTGATGTCTTCAATGTTCTTAACATTTCCTCATAATCTATCAATACCCCTTTGGGATCCCCCCAAACTGTTGCCATACCTTCTGAGCTGACCCCTCTTCCTTGAACTTAACGGGGCGAGCAGATCACCTTGGAAGCCAGCTTTGACTGGACCTGTCCTCTGGTGTTCCAGGGAAAGTCTTCACGGAGTTCGAGTTCTATATCTTCATTTTAAAATCAAGACCATAGAAAGACCTTTCCGTAGACGTTTCAAAACCTCCACTGCAGGCACTACCTGCTATGCTTTCAATATCCCTTACATAAAGACTTGCATGATTGACTTGGCAGAATTCAGTTCCAGAAAAAAACCGTTTATCTTTCCTGTTATGTTTCCCTGTTTCATTTATTTTATTACATACACATTTTACAACCTCCACATTACCCTCTCTGCTTTGCTGCCAAGAAGCCAAGAAACAAAATGTATTAAATTACAGTAAAGGCCGTTATCTGCAGCTATGGTATAATTATTTCCCTATTCCTACATAATAATTTTATTGTATGTGTTTTCTGCTATGCTTCTGATTACAGCTAGGTATATAATTGACAAATTAAAAAAATGATAAACAAATGTAGCCGAGGTGTAATTCCTAAATGCACAAACCCTGAATAAAGTAGTAGATACAATAGCCTAGCGGTGGCTTCGTATGAGTTTGCTGACTATGTGAACCTCTGGGAGGGAAGGCTGGCAGAAGAGGAGCCATCGCTCCTTCCAAGGGCTCTTCTCTAACTCCCTGCCTTCTCCTTACCTGTGAACCTTTTGAACCTGACCTTCTCCCATGGCGGGGACCACTTTTATGACCTTGTTTGACACTGCCATCTTAGTTTATCATTGCTTTTCTTGCAGAGAAAGAAAGGAAGCGAAATCATTTTTAATTCTCGCTCTCAGAAAACAGGCCTGTTCTTAACCAGAGACTTCATCCTTTAGCTTGCAGTGGCCGGGATGAGGTCTGCTGGGTGAGAGCTGTGTCGCCAGCAATGGGGCCAGCACGTGGCCTGGAACATACGGTCAACACTTGGCTGGTGAGTGAAGGAGTTATTCCCAGGACACCATCCTTTGCCTTAGTGTGTCAAATCTGATATTGGTCTTCTAAGGCTTTCTAGCCTATTTGCTTTCAGACACTATTCAGAATCAGTGTGAGGGAATCATGAAACACGCCAGCTGCCACTGAAATCAATACAGCATAATATGTACAGGTCAATGCTGTTAGGACCTATGGCTACTTACACTGTACAGAACAACACCCAAAAAATGAAAGCCCTGGGTTTTCCAGGATTCTGAGAGTGATATTTTGGACATAAGTGAAATATCAGGAATATTTATTTTGGCAAAGTTGGAAAACCTACCTTCTCTCTTAAAAGTCGCAAGAGAATCCGCGGAATTATGCACAGAACATAGAGCACAATTGTGTGCTGATTACATAAGCTAAGGCCACAGCAAAAGGCACCAATTTTAGCTACCTGAAAAGAAATAAAGGGAAAAGAACCAAAATATTCAAGTTAAAAATTCACCCGAAATTCTAAGAAAGCACAATAGTAAAAAGCTAGTCTTTCTAATAAAACCAAGCATTTGTACCATGGGAATGGTGGAAACCAACCTCTTTGATGCACATGGCCATGCTTTACCTCACACACACACCACCACTACCACCACCACCACCCACCCCCGCCCCAATTGGGTCAATTCTGACTCACAGAGACCTTATAGGGCAGAACAGAACTGCTCCAAGGGGCTTCTGAAGTCATCAAGCTTTACAGAGGCAGACAGCCTCATCTTTATCTTAGGAAACGGCTGGTGGGTTTGAACCACCGACCTTTTGGTCAGCAGCCCAATGATTACTGCTCTCTATCACCCTGACGGTTTACTGATAGTGTTTGCTATTGTGTTAAATCACTGTTGTTTGTCCTTCCATGTGTGTCCTTACTTACAGAAACTTCTTGTGGTGACTAAGTCCATGGTAACTGACCATTCTATCCCAATACATCCATCCTAATGACAAGTAGATTTCGTCACTGCCACTCTTAAGTCCTAAAACTGGACGTGAAGTGCAGCCATTCTGCTTTCTCTGTGCTCCCATGAGAGCCATGCGGGGAAGCACTCTGATGTCAGAACCTGGTTCTCTGTAGGGGTGGTTTTGCTTTTCTGGACTATATTATTTTCTCATTTGAAAAAAAAACAACCTAATTAAAAACAAACAAACAAACAAACAAAAAACGGCAAGCACATCACAGATCGTTTATGGGAACTATAAATAGACCAACTGTGATGCTCTTTGGTTTTTCCAGTTTTTAAGGAAGCGAGGCTGTCTCTAGTAAGGCTATCTGGTCCTTTCTAATGTGTGAGCCATAAACTTGCACATTTCAAATGATGTTGGTGATGAGTGCCTGAGAATGTATTCTCGTCCCTTCTAAAGGACTTGGTTTCTGCATTTGTTCTCCTTTAGTTCAAAACAAAATAGGCATTTGACTGTTTTATCCCCCTAAGGGATTAGATGTATGTACCATAATGGCACATACCTTAAGGTGGTCCGTTTAGAGCTTGGTATCTTATCATCTCTCTCTCTCTCATCATCTCTCTCTTTCTCTCTCTCTCTCTCACATACGTTAAGGTGGTCAGTTTAAGCAGGGGTCCTCAAACTACAGCCCGTGGGCCACATGCGGCACGCCGAGGATATTTATCCAGGCCGCCGGGTGTTTTTCCCTGTTTTTTACTTCAAAATAAGCTATGTGCAGTGTGCATAGAAATTTGTTCATAGTGTTTTTTTTTAAACTATAGTCCGGCCCTCCACCGGGTCTGAGGAACAGTGAACTGGCCCCCTGTTTAAAAAGTCTGAGGACCCCTAGAGCTTGGTATCTTACCCTCTCACCTCTCTCCTCCGCCATCTCTCTCTCACACACACACACACACACACACACACACACACACACACACACACAGATGGTGGTGGGATAAATCTATCTCCTTCACAAAACAAGCCTATCTTCTCCACAAGACTACAAGGGGCTTGATAATTCCCTCATCATCACCACCCAAAAAAACTCCGGAGCGCTCTGGGGGCTGGGGAAGGGGGCCAAGCCCCACGTTCCGCAAAGGTTATGATGGTTCCATTCACAATCAGAGCGCTTAGACCATGCCAACCTGCCTACGTTCCTGTGACAGTAATCAGTAGACAAACAGTAGCTAAACTTTAAGAGATACAGTATCTGTCTGAAAACGAAAACAAAATTCCACTTTGATCAAAATGGGTTACCTTTGATCTCTCTTGTGCAGTCGCTGCCTCCTCAAAATGGACTGTCAGCGCCATAAGCAGCCCCACAAACAGATTGTTTAAGCTGAAAACCTCTGCTGCGATGGACCACTGCCACGTGAGCCGGGAAAAGGAAAACACCCCCGCAGCAAGGACTCCTCCGGCACACGAGCCAGAAAGCCTGCAAAGACAGATAACAGGAATCTTCTTTCCCAACAGAAAGAACCGACTCTATTTCCTCTCTCTGAACCAGCTGCAGAAATGAGGACTGCTGCCCAGCACGAGCCCAACGTGGTCTACGGTGGGTACACGACTTCATGCAAGAAGCCTACCTATTCACAGTCAGTGAGCCTGCTTGGGGCCCTATGGACAGTGGCGGGTCCGTCTTCGGATGTGGCCACTAGCATTCAGGCCAGTTCAGACTCCCGATGGATAGTCGCTAAAGAGACAACGAGCCTGTGTCGGTTTCTTTGTTCTAGCCACCAAGAAGAATGGTGGCCTTTCAGACTAAGAAGGAGGTATAATTCGTGGTAAAAATGTTACAATAGCTACTTAGGGAACACTGGTTCTCACTCCTGGTGGACTGTTCAGACCCACTGCATGGCAGACTGTATTGGTCACAATATTCAATAAGTTAAAGATCTTATGAGCTATGTTTCTGATGGTGCCTTCTTTAGATAAACTTGATGTTAAAAATAAAGTTTTTACAGGGAGAAAACGGAATTTCAACAGCACCCAAAGAATCAAAGAATGCCCCCTCGCGGGGCAAATGCCTTCCCCCAAATGCCAACAAGCGTCATACATTTCAAAGCAAGCGAGACTCAAGATCTCAGTTCAGAGAGTGGGTGTGAGGCGGGAATATGGCTGAATAAGCTGGAACATATCAGACCCCAACGAGGTGCTGTCGTTGCTATGAAACAGAATCTACGAAAATTGAAAATACTAAACCAAATATGTATTTCCAAGAGTGTCATGAAATTCAATAAACAGTACCTTGTCTAGTAATTACACCATTATATGGCCCTAAGTTAGTATGCTGTAGGCATATTGTTTTATATTAAAAGGTATAAAGTAATTCTATGGCTTTTACTCAAACATTGTAGCAAAAAGTTAAATAAAAATGGCTAAATCTCTTTTTCTTTGAGGCGATTTCTGGTTCTTTTCCCCTCATTATTCCTTGATTTCTTGGAGTTCTCCATTCTCCAAGTGATCCTGATTTAATAGATTAAAGTCATTTCTTCCTTCTGAATTATTTTCCTATTATTTAAACTAATTATTGTAGGGGTTTCCTAATTTAGCTTCTGTTTTCCAATTGATTCTGCGATAGAACATCCAGATTAAACATCCCAGAGCATAGTTTTGATGACTACACTTTAAAGGACTCTTCATTGCCTGCAGAATAGATTCTAAATAGGTCAGCCTAGAACCTGGGTTCCCAATAACCTATCTCTACCTATCCATTAATTATCAATCTTTCTATTCCACCAATTAGTGAGGCCTCTCAAGATTCCTTAATAGACCATGCTTGTTGTTGATTCCCTATCTTTGCTCAGGCCATGCCCTTGAATCAAATATCTTCCCTACTCCTTTCTATCAAAATCATATTTAATATATATAGATATAAATAAATAAATAAATAAATAATTAATTAATTTCCTTCTAATTCCAAAATTTCCAGTCTATTTCTGGATAGCTATAGCCTTTTATTGTCTGCACCCATTATTTTGCATTGTTTTTGGAATGTCCACTGCAGTTAAAATGTGTTTATATTTGAAGCACTTGACCTGAAGCAAAGGAATTTTAATGAATGGGAGAATGACTGCACCTGAAAGTGTTATATGTATAAACTCACTGCCATTGAGCCGATTCTGATTCATACAGACCCTATAGGACAGGGTAGACCTGGCCCTATGGGCTTCTGAGACTGTAACTCTTCATGGGAGTAGAAAGTCTCATCTTTCTCCAAGGAGCAGCAGGTGGTTCCAAACTGCTGACCTTGCAATTAGCAATCCAATGCATAACCACTACTCCACCAGGGCCCATATGTATATGCATAACCACTACTCCACCAGGGCCTATATATATATATACATACACACACGTATACAGGTGATATAGCTCTCTCTATATATATATCTCACAGGAAAGTAAGCATATGATACAAGATTTCTTCCTCCACTTAAAACATAACCCAGTATCCTTGAAGAAATGGGTCTGTGGAAAATGAGTCTGAACCATGTTGTAGCAGAAAGCAGTCAGGATGCACTCCGAGCCTGGCATGAAGCCAGCTTGAAGGAGCTCCTGCTGTCCCAGTGGGGAATAATTTGAGCATGGAAATAATTATGGTAATAGATTGTAACCTGTTTGTTTAGTAAAAACCAGCACCCGTGGATCTATGGTGATGCGTAGAAACGGTACCTTTAGAGTGGGAAAATCTGACAGACAGCATCTTCGCCAAGAGCCCCAAGGGCACAGCACTAGTAAGGAGACAAACAGCAGGGCGGGCGTCCTGACCGAGTGCACGCAGAGGAAGGTAGCATTGTTTCTACGGTAGGCCTGGCAGATGCTGGATGTAGGCAAACCCAAGGTGAGGGACAGTCTACAAAATAATTAGTTGGTACTTATCAAAATAATCAAACTCTTTAAGGACCCAAAGCAACAAACACCCATAGAACTGTTCCTAACTAAAAGAGGCTAAAGGAAGATAGGAGGCCTGGTGGTGTAGTGGTTATGCGTTGATCTGCAAGGTCGGCAGTTCCAAACCCCCAGCCTGCTCTGTAGGCGAAAGGTGGGGCTTTCTACTCCTGTGAAGAGTCACAGTATTGGAAACACACGAGGGCAGTTCTATCACTTCTAAAGGGTCATTATGAGTCGGCACTCACTTGACAGCTGTGAGTGACTGAACGGGACACGGTAGTGGAGTACGATGAATGATATGGGGGTTCTTCTGCCATACATAGTGTTATTCGGACAACTGGCAAAATCTGCATGTGCAGCAGAGATAATAATATGATACCAGTGGTACTTTCCCGATTCTGATCACTGTACTGTAGATATGTAAAACAGTACTCTGATTTTTAGGAAACATTTAAAGGCAAAAGGGCATCACGTGTGGAATTGACTCTGAAACTGCTTAAAAGGAAACAGAACTCTACCTACTTGGAGTCAAGGGTGGAGAAAATGTGGGGCTATACTAACCTTCGGGGAGTCTGGATGAGGGCATGAAAAGAGGAGGCAGTTCTTACAACTCCTCTTGAAATCTGAAACTATGCCAAAGTGCAAAACTACATCCGCGTATTTCTCCGATGATAAGCCGATTGCATTTATTGAGTTTTGTTTTGTGGCCACGTGCCAACGGATTCTCTGTGCACGTTCTTCATATGAACTCATTTGACGTTCATGGGAACTCTAGGAGTGGGAATTGTTATCTTTCTTTCTGCTGATGAAAAACCTCGGACTCAGAGAGGTCAAGTAATTTTTCCAAGGTTCTACGGCAATTAGGTAGCAGACCCGGGACCGGGACTGTTGGCATAGCTCTTTAGTGCCACTGCATTCTGGGGTCAGGCCAGTTACTTCAGGTTTAATATAAGACATTTTCTACCAGATTAGGGATAATAAATAAGACTTTTATTTGGTTGAAGCTATTGCTCCTGGATGAAGAGCCAGATCGTATATTATTAGAACTGTGCATTCTTAGAACTGTGCTCAGTGCCACAATTGATTGAAACGACACACTACCAGCCTTGTATTCAAAACCACTTGAGTCTGGTTGGAACCAATTTTGTTTTTACTTTTTAGGGGTCATTAGTCAAAGTTGAAAACCACTAATGAATTAAAGAGCACTGAAAAAAAGTCCTGACCTCTACGAATCCTTCAGAGAAAACTCAGGATCGGCTTGTCTAAAATGATTTTGAATTAACCTTGTGAAGCTGAGCAAGACATGCCAAGGTGTTGGGACTGTCGAAGGGGGTCACTGGGATCGTGAACCATGTTCGCTGCCCTTTCAAGGAGTTTACGGTACAGTCTGAAGACGGGGAGAGCAGGGTGAAATAACGAGCCGGGGTTAACACCGACCCCGTGGCCACACAGTTAAAGTACAGCCGCATTTTCTTGAAGACTAAGCCCACATCTGTCAAGTCTAGAGCCTGCCATTGTCTTCTGAGGTCAGGGTGGTTTTTGCTATTCCTTCCCCCCCTTTTCTTGGTATCAGAGAAATGACCTGTGGAACTGCTGATGGAGGAAAGGGGAGAGAAGGTTTATAAATCAGTCATAGAAATCAAACCTATAATCTTGACTTTTTTTTTTTAGCACCAATGGTTTGTAGGCATGCGGAATGTAAACTGAAGTAGTGGGCCTTTTATTTATACATTTTTGGCTACTCATTTAATCTAACATCTGAAGCATCCATCTCCTCTGTTTGAGGGATACCCAGCTTGAGGCACAGTCCCCAGGCTGGAAAGACAAGAAATTCACTTTCCCAGACTTCCTTGCAGCTACGGCACAGGCGCAAGACCAAGGCCAAGGTCTGCTTGTCAGAAGCCCCGCCCGCTCCTTGCTCTGAATCCGAAACTACTGAGGCAGAGCAGCAGGAGCAGGGCAGTCTCCAATCAGACAAGGGTGGTGGCATCCATGCCTCACTTCCATCGACAGCAATGGCAGCATTTCAGGGACCATGTCCAGAGCTCAGCTCCTGCTGGTGGTAGCTTCACGTGAACTTACCTGAAAAGACCCTGAATGATATTTCAGGCTCAGAGCCTGGGAACACTGCCTTTCTAGAGTGTCTGTGTGCGCCCCAATCCTTTTGATGTTTCTTTTCTACTAAATACCCAAACCCTCTGCCTACAAGGCGATTCCAAGACATAATGACCTAACATAGGGTTTCTAACACTGGGACATCTTTATGGGAGCAGAAAGCCTCGTCTTTCTCCCACAGAGCAGCTCGTGGTTTTGAACTGCTGATCTTGCGGTCAGTAGCCCAGTAGGGCTCTTTCTACCCAATACAGCCAACGCTAACTTATTGCAACCAAGAATCTTGATGGAAACCTACTACCTTACCATTTTATTATTCCTATTAAGTTTTCCAAGGAAACTTTTTGAAGACATTTGGAAAATAAATGCTGAGGCTCCCTTACTGTGTCCGTAACCTGTCATCGCGATGGTCCCTGGTCTGACTCCAGGGTC